ACCCCCCCCCCCCCCCCCTCTTCCTTCTCTTTCTTTTTTTTTTTTCTGTATAGAAGTGTAAGTTTTAAATGATAGCCTTAGACTTACCACACTTTGTGCCGTGGAATATTGAACAATTAAGAAATAACACATTTAAGATGAATGTGTAATAAAATTTGGAACGATTGAATTAGAATTAAGTAGAACCAATAAAAGGTTAAATAAGCTAGAATTTATTTTAGTGGTTTTGGACATGTGTATAGTAAATATATGATTGTAAACTATTTTTGATATGAAAGTAATAGAGTTAAAATTTCACCTTTAATACGTTTTCTCTCAACTGGGTACTTTTCAATGGTAATTCTCTCTATAACCAGAGAGTCTTATTTATACTTAGGATTATCAACTAGCTCTTATCACTTACTAAGATAGTTTCCATGACCGCCAATATTGAGGCCATTAATATTTCTTCAACTCCTTGCTGTCAAAGTAGACTAAAATACTCCAAGTAGAATTAATTACGTTGACATAGTCTTTCATTTCTTGATGAGTCTCTTGGACTACATCATCTATGTAGACTAAAAAAGATTTAATCTAAATATCTAATTATATCAATATAATATATATGTATGTATGCACTATTAAAAAAAGGATATTTAATACACAATAATTTTATAAAAAAATACATCTATGATATGTCATGAATAATATAATATTTAGCCAATGGGTTGGAGTTTTATTTATTTCAGATTTAACTACCAATCGTGACTCAATTAACATCAAAAAATTTTAACCACATATATTCTAACAACAGCGAACAAATGGAGAAAGACAAAAAGAGGGGATTGTAACAACTCAAAATTCACCTTGGACAACATCACTATATATATAACATCCAATCATGAGAATATCTAAGATAATCGTTAAATAATAAAAATCATTCTACATTTAATGACTAACTCTTAAAATAAAATTATCCATATTTAATGTTTATACAGGGACTTAAAGGGCAATGGTCGGAAGAATTTGGAAAAAGGCAGAGAGGCGAAGGATACAACGTGAACAAGCCCTAGTCTCCCTCTCTCTCTCTCTCTCTCTCTCTCTCTCTTATATATATATATATATATATATATANCGAAGGATACAACGTGAACAAGCCCTAGTCTCCCTCTCTCTCTCTCTCTCTCTCTCTTATATATATATATATATTATTTTNTCCAATCATGAGAATATCTAAGATAATCGTTAAATAATAAAAATCATTCTACATTTAATGACTAACTCTTAAAATAAAATTATCCATATTTAATGTTTATACAGGGACTTAAAGGGCAATGGTCGGAAGAATTTGGAAAAAGGCAGAGAGGCGAAGGATACAACGTGAACAAGCCCTAGTCTCCCTCTCTCTCTCTCTCTCTCTCTCTCTCTCTTATATATATATATATATATATATATATTAAATTGGGTTATGCTTGATTTCATTATTTCGAGTTACATTCAAATTAAACTCATGAATTTGAGTATCGTTCGAATTCAATTTAGGTCGAGTATTTTTGGCCTAAGCTCAACCTAAGCCATGATTTTTTTAGGTTAGGTTAGGGTTGGGCTCTGATTGGCCCACCCAAGTTTCACCCCTCTTCATCCACACCTACCTTTCTCTTCTTTTCCCTACTTTTCTCTTTTTTTCGCGGTGTTCCCTTTTAATTTTGAATTGTATAATTAAAAAAATAAAAAAATAAATTACTACATATAAATATTATAAAATCAATGTTCATTTTTTTTGTGTCACAGAGGGTTTTTAGATACAAGATTATTGCTAATTATCACATATGACTGTATGAGGAATGACAAATGCATCCATACACTGGATTAACAAAATCTGACAGATGACGTCTAAGGTACCTTAACAGCAACACAGCTCTCTAAAGCTCCTCTGCAAGACTGGGCATATTCACCAAATCGAAATCTACCTATTCCAACTTGACCATACCTTCCTCCAGCTGCTGTTTCTTGGGCTCGGCAGGAAAATATTTTATGTCCACTAGATCACCCACTCTGCTAATAACTTGACAAAGAGATTTTTAGGAGTGTAAGGTATTATTTCTACAGATGAGAATCAAGCGTACTGGAACATAATTCAAGGTCGCGGTATTGACCATTGACTCGAAAGATTCTGAGACATATCAGTTGTGATGTTGTAATGCGATATCGGGTGATACGACCTAAAAAAAAATATTAAATATGACGAGAGACTCAGTTTTTATTGCGGCGTCACAAAACTATATCGGCCGATTTAATGGCTATAACTCGGGAATTACTCGGATATCACTTGAACGACTCGGCTGAGTGGTACAAGACTCAGGATTTATATGTATCGTGTAATAATATCGTCTCGGAAAGTACCGAGTCGGATACGATTCGACCGACTCGTATACATATCGGTCGATATTTTGAACCATGATATATCATAGAAAAAGTAAAAGAACATTTTTGAAGCAAAGAAAATAAAGTAAATTCAATTAAGGATACGAATTCTCACCTCTAAGGCATTGATCAAGTCTTCCCTCGTGTGAGCAGCAGAGATACAGATGCGAGCTCTGGACAATAGTAAAGGGGTAGCTGGAAAACAGACCGTCACAACAGCCACCTGAAAGAGCAAAAGATGTAATGATCCATAAAAGCATGTCTGAATTGAATAATTAGAAAGCGCCGAAAAAAATCACTAGGAAGTTTTTGTCGAATAACTAGTTGTACAACTAACCAAAACTAAACATCAAAGTGATGCCACAGAGAGAAAATGAGAGGTAACTTACATTCCGCTTGAGGCATTCCCGTGAAAAAGCAGGAATTTTTGCCGGATTGTAGAGCATTATAGGCATTACAGGGGAGTCATTATCCCCTAGAACTTCAAAGCCCATTTTCTGCAGTTGTGACCTGAAAAAGTTGCTGTTCTCACGTAATCGTGCAAGTTTCTGAGCCCCTACATTGACACAAAAGTTAGCTCGAGGCATCAGTGAATAGATCAGTAATTCATAGTAAACTGCAGTGAACACAGCATAGCAGTCAAGGTACTGGAAAATCACAGGATCTTTTCAACCTCTACTAGAACCATCCTCTCCAAGAAGAACCTTTAAGGCAGAAATAATCTGTTGAGCAGCTGGGGGTGATATGGACGAGGCATACAGATGAGCAGGACAAGAGTACTTCACATATTGAATAAGCTCCTGAACAGACAAACAACGTTAATCACCGAAGATGCAGGGAAAACAAATTACATAATTGTAAATACTAAAATCTGAGCTCACAGATGACAGCAGTTGCAACATATTGGAAGATGTAAACAAGGGGACTAACAATGGTCAAGCTCAATGATGCAACGCATCCACCTTGTGTATTGCATAATATGGCACCATATATGTCGCATAATAAAATGTCTAAGGAGCTAGTAAATAGCACAAAACCATACATGTAAGTATGTAACCCACTTGAGTGGCCACTCTTCTGGAGATGAAAGCAAACATCAAACAATGGGGCTCATATTCAATGCACACTGCCTCTAAAAAGAAAATAAGAATAATGCCTAGTTCAGTCCCATTCAGGCAGTCTCTGATGGGTAAACTGTGTACAAAATACAAACCTAAACATTCACACAGTGGCTACTTTCAAGTCTGAACCAGCAACCTTAAGATATTAATAAACAATGGTACTTACCCAAAAAAAAAATGACAGTACTAGTTCCAAAATCCATCTTTTAATTGAACGTGCTGCTACCAGTTAGTGCACAGGAAAATTGCAAGTGCTAGGACTTATTCAAGTGGTTGGCAAATGTCCCACCTCTCTTGGCAATTCAATACCCACAACATAAATATCAGCAATCTATGAATTGATGAATGGTCCACAGCTATCACAAATACACGTCCTGACATGCACTACATTTATGGGAAGATCAAAGGAAGTGTGCAAAAACCTTAGATCCTGCAATATATCCACCACATGATCCAAATGATTTTGTGAAAGTTCCCATCATGATATCCACATCAGCTGTATCCACTCCTAAAAGCTCGCAGACACCTCTTCCTGTATTCCCAATTGCTCCAATGCTGTGAGCTTCATCTAAATAAATGTATGCCTGCAAAAAAGTAGAAAGCCAAATGAAATGACACAAATATGGATAGAAACAATTAATTTCATTGGTCAAGTTCCAAGAGAAGATAAACAAAGCAATTAATGAGAACCTATAATAGGTATTAAAAAACATTAGCAAAATGCCAAAATTTCCCAATCACATGTACAAATAAAAGGAAAGTAACTATTTTAGGTTACATTTTGCATGGCAGTGGAAACACTTGATAACATGTTTATCACAAATTCCAGATTATAGTGCCTCATACAGGCAATGCTTTACGAGACAAAATGATGGGCGATTAAGAAATAACATGCTAAAAAACTAAGCGTTGTAGAAATGAGAATGTTAAGATGGATGTGTGGTAAAACGAAAAGGGATACAATTAGATATAAGTATATTCGAAAAATCCTAGAAGTAAATTAAGCAAGAATCAACTTAGGTTAGGTGGCATGACCATGTTTATAGAAGACCTTAAAAAATATGATAGCTTATAGTCTAACGCAACATATGATCCTTGAAAGAGCGCAATGGAGAAACATGATTCATGTAGCCGACCCCAATAATAGGGATTGAGGCTTTGTTGAGTTGAGTTGAACATCCAATACCAACATAAACAAACGAAACATAATAGACTGGTAAGACTTTATATACTCAAAATGAACATATGAAACATGATAATGATTCAAGAGCTTAAGACCATTGGAATCGTGCCCAGAGAAGATTTAAAAGCTAATAGCCTCAAGCAACTCCATCAACGTTTCTATATGAGAACACAAAGATACTGTAAAATAGATCCAACACCTTGTATTTCTTGCATATGGCAACGATCTCTGGAAGTTTGCACAAATCCCCTTCCATACTGTATATTCCCTCCACAACAACAATAATCTTCTTCCATGGTCTGTGTGCTAGGTTTTCCGTCAGCAATATGCTCTCTCAAAACGTTTTCCAAGTGGGATGGAGCTAAATAGAAAATCGGAATAGGAACCACATGCATGAAGTATGTATACCTTTATAACATAAAATTTGTTCAGAAGAACATAAAGCACCCAACATAGACTTACTGTTATGCTGGAAAACTCGAATGACAGCTCCTGATCCTCTAGCACCATTGACAATAGAGTTATGGTTAAGAGAATCACTGATTATCAATCCTCCCTGCAGATGATCACATCAAGAATAACATATTTAAAGTACAAAAATAGATTCAATACACCATAACAAGATTGATCCTTATTTGAGTACCTACACATACCTTTCCAACTAATACGGGAAGGATGGCTGAGTTTGTTACATAGCCCATGCCAAACACTAAAGCAGACGGCTTTCCAACAAAGTTTGCCACCCTCTCCTCCAATTCATTATGCAACGTTGTAGTGCCTGATTGCAAAATTTTATCAGTAATAGAACAGAGCACATAAAAATGGGGTGTACAGTATTTCTATAAACATGCCCACCTCCATCAACACGAGCACTGCAGGTGCTCAGAGAAAATCTTTTCAAAGACTCAATCACACAGGGTGTACAGTATTCATCTGATGCAGCAAACCCAAGATAATTGTATGATCCTAAGTTGAGGCACCTATTGATTTTTGTGGTACGCCTGCATAAGATGCAATGGGATAAATTCAGCCGCAGCACAGCAAATTTCAAATGTCAGTGATATGTGAGATCCCTTAAATAAACCTTATCAACTGCTCCTATGACATTGACCATATATATATATATAAAGAAGATAGCTAATAAAGACGCTTAGAATTGAACCAAACAAGTGATTAAGCTATAGATTTCCAATGCACATTGAAATACTCACTTTAGCTTCTTGTTATTGTCGGTGGAGACACGCTCCACCACATCAAACCAAGCATCAGGAGGACCCGATATCGGACGGTCAAAACAGTCCTACATACAGGTGGACATATGTATCAATGACAAAATTCCATTTTTTAATGTTGTATCATTAAGCTAGATATAGACAGCAGTAAAATCAAAAGCCAGATATCTATTAACCTATTTCCTTGATTAATTATCTAATGGCCAAAGCCTTAAGATGCAAACCAACAGAATTAAAGATTTAAAAAACAGAAAAATTAAAAACTGCAAACCCAGGACAGTTGGAGGAAATACAACAAAGTAAAAGAACTCAGTTTAAGGTTTTTTTCTGTGAAGGGGGCATGAGGCTCAAACCCACACCTACCTGCAGGAAAGATGGTCCCATTGCCACTGGCTCATAATTTGCCTCTAGTCGGAAGAAATATATTGAAGATCATAAACAATAACTAAACCATTGAATGAAGATCATAAAACAAACTTAATAACTAAACCAGTATCTGAATATGTGTGTATGCATTGATATCCTATTGATATTTTTGTTACTTCTTTTGCATCTTGTGTTCTTTTTTATATTTCACATGGACAAAGCAACTGTAAATTATCTTCCCCGTCTTCCTTAATTAATTAATGTTCAACTTTTCCGGAAACTGATATGAACAAAAAACTAATCACCTACTTCAATATCTATATTTTTTCATATGTATCCCTTGATGAGTTTGTACATGTGTGTGACTTGGTGTCATAGATGATACTTGAGCCGAGCTAGAACTCGATTTAAGCTCGGCTTGTGTTCTAAACGAGTCGAATTTGAATAATTTTTAGGCTAGTTTAAAAAACGAGTCGAACTTGAATAATTTTTTAGACTCATTTTTTAAACGAGTCTAAAAAAAAGGCTCGACTTGAATTCGCAATGCTCGGCTCGTTTATATGTAAAATAGTCGAATTACTCAGCTTAGCTCGTTATGGATTCGACTCGAGCTTGACTCATTTTTTAAACAAGTCGAGTTTGAACAATTTCTTAGGCTCGTTTAAAAAAATGAGCTTAGGCTCGAGCTATCAAANATATCTATTAACCTATTTCCTTGATTAATTATCTAATGGCCAAAGCCTTAAGATGCAAACCAACAGAATTAAAGATTTAAAAAACAGAAAAATTAAAAACTGCAAACCCAGGACAGTTGGAGGAAATACAACAAAGTAAAAGAACTCAGTTTAAGGTTTTTTTCAGTGAAGGGGGCATGAGGCTCAAACCCACACCTACCTGCAGGAAAGATGGTCCCATTGCCACTGGCTCATAATTTGCCTCTAGTCGGAAGAAATATATTGAAGATCATAAACAATAACTAAACCATTGAATGAAGATCATAAAACAAACTTAATAACTAAACCAGTATCTGAATATGTGTGTATGCATTGATATCCTATTGATATTTTTGTTACTTCTTTTGCATCTTGTGTTCTTTTTTATATTTCACATGGACAAAGCAACTGTAAATTATCTTCCCCGTCTTCCTTAATTAATTAATGTTCAACTTTTCCGGAAACTGATATGAACAAAAAACTAATCACCTACTTCAATATCTATATTTTTTCATATGTATCCCTTGATGAGTTTGTACATGTGTGTGACTTGGTGTCATAGATGATACTTGAGCCGAGCTAGAACTCGATTTAAGCTCGGCTTGTGTTCTAAACGAGTCGAATTTGAATAATTTTTAGGCTAGTTTAAAAAACGAGTCGAACTTGAATAATTTTTTAGACTCATTTTTTAAACGAGTCTAAAAAAAAGGCTCGACTTGAATTCGCAATGCTCGGCTCGTTTATATGTAAAATAGTCGAATTACTCAGCTTAGCTCGTTATGGATTCGACTCGAGCTTGACTCATTTTTTAAACAAGTCGAGTTTGAACAATTTCTTAGGCTCGTTTAAAAAAATGAGCTTAGGCTCGAGCTATCAAAGCTCCACTTGATTATCTGGCCTATATACAATTGGATGTAGTATGGTTTTTTTTTTTCACCGTGATTCAATAATATTCACACATCTACCCATCTAGTTACTATGTCTAAGCACATTACCCAAAACAATCAATTAAAGAAGCCAAAATTAAGCAAAACAATGTATACCACAACAATGTAGAGATAAAAAATATCATATACCTGGATACGCCAATACAAACGCCGAAAATAAAAATCCTCAAGCCCTAAGCAGATTGGTGCATATGCCTAAAAACACAACATAATTAAAACCTCAATAAAAAATTTATATAATAAAATAATTTACGATTCAAATTTTAAAAATAAATAAAATAATTTTTGTTTTTCGCGGTTTAGATCGCATTAAATCTTATTGTAAAGTTAATCTAACGGTTAATATTAACACCCTAAATTTAATAAAAAAAATGAGGGTTCAAAGAACNAAATTTTAAAAATAAATAAAATAATTTTTGTTTTTCGCGGTTTAGATCGCATTAAATTTTATTGTAAAGTTAATCTAACGGTTAATATTAACACCCTAAATTTAATAAAAAAAAATGAGGGTTCAAAGAATGTGTGTTTGGAGTAATTTTTTAAAAATATTTATAAAAATTATTTTTAATAAATATTTTAAAATAAATAATATTTAAAACCGCTCCGCTGCTACCTCAACCACCCCCACCCCCACCATCACTACCTCTATCACCGCCGCTGCCGCCATCACCACCATATAATAATTAAAGTAGCGGTGAGATTGGAATACGGGACTTCCTGCTCTCCTACCATATAAAAAATTGCAGACATTTACCTGAAGAGTGTCGGCATGCCACCAACCAATGATATTCATGAAAAAATCTCTCAATTGACCAAATGCGAAGAGCAATCCGTAGCTGAAATACGTGGTCAAGGGGGTCAAATACGGAATTGTTATCATTGTGATCGACAACGATTCGATGGATGAGCTTTTGGCCGAATCAAGAGGTCAAACGGCCGATCTGGCTTCAGAATAACCGGTGGATGGAGCCTGATCGGAGATATGAGATCAGCGATCCCTGAGGGGGGTGTAATGTGTCTGAGAGAGAGAGAGAGAGAGAGAGAGAGGGAAATGTTGGAGCGAAGGATGGGCGTACGGAGTCAAAGAATGAGAACAATAATTCTAAAATTTAAAATTATTTAATTTGGATAGTCAAAGAATCGGGTAGATATCATAAAACTATAAAGCCTAAACGTCAAAATTCTAACCTCGCGTCTTGTTTGATTAAATATTTAAAAGAGTTTTTTGCATTTTTTACCTATAAAAATTTTATTTTGTATCCTGCAATATTAAATTATTATCATTACACTCTTATGTATTAAAAATATTATAATGTATTTCTTATGTTAATATCCTTTTTTTTTTTTTTATCAAAAATCAATCTATTCGCACTAATAAAAAAATTAATTAAAAATTAACATAAGAGTTATATTATAATATTTTTAATACATTAAGAATACAATATAAAAAATTTAATTTTTAAAAATATAAAATAAGAATTGTGAAATATATCAGAGTGCAAAATATAATTCACCCTATTTAAAAAATAAAAAAAATCTCAAAATTGAGTACATTTTTAAATTCGGTCTCTCTCTCTCTCTACTTAAAAACTAGTTTCTTTTTTAAATTTATAGAATAAACATTAATTTAGATGTTAATATTAATATATTTAAAACTAAAAAATATCTGAATATATCATTATTGATGATAAACTATTTTTAATTAAAATTATTATTGTCCAGTCAAGTCTAACTTTTATTCGTCAATACCGTGTTCCTCGAAAGTGGGAGGAAAGTCAATACTACAAAAAGAGGGTATGGAATGGTCTGCTGGTTACCGAAGCTTCGTCGTCTGTGTGGAATTAACCGTTGGTTTTTTTTTTTTTTTTTAGATAATTATATTCAAATTCTCAAAAATTTATCAATTAATCACTCCGACCTTTTTACATTGACATTGAAAATATTATACACTCAGACCCTTTTATTGTTTTCTGCTGTTATTATTTCTCTCGATTGTCTCATTACTCCTCCGTCGTTACTTGTCTCTCTCCCCCTCTCTTCTGAGTATTCACCGTTCAGTCCTCCCTCTCTTCACCTTCTCCATCTCCATTTTCCTCTGTCTCTCTGTAATTGTCCTTTAGGGCTTCTCCATTGCTTTGGCCATTATCGGAATTCAATTGTAGAATTCAATTAATCTATAAAATGCCTTTTTCTCTTCACCCTTTTCTATCAGACGCCCCCAGCTTTGTTTATTGGAACTATGCAACCATTGGTCTATAGCTGGTAATTTTTTTTAGTTACAATTTTTAATACAATAATCTACTTATTTCGATGTCAATGATTAGATAATAAAATTGTATGTTAATTACGATTTTTTAAGAAAAAATTAGTAATTTATTTTTGATTTTATTTCAATAAATGATATATCAAAAAGATATAATAGAACATGAATTTTAATTGTAAAATTTAAAATATTTGATATTATATTTTTAATTGGAGTATTTTTGAACTAAATATAACATTTTAAACTTGAGAGAGAAACTTTAAGGGGTCTGTACATAATATTTCAAATGACAAGAAATATAAGTGATTAAGTAATAAACCTCAAATATTTAGGTGTAATTCTCCCTTTTTTATTAACTAAAAATTGTTCGTCACTTTAAGAACAGTTTAATACAAAAAACTTAATTAAAAAATTATATTTATTACAAATTCAACAAAATTTCCTTAGAATTCAATAATTAAAAAATAAATTATTCAACATCCCTAACAAAGAGAGAAAAAAGGATATGAAAAAAGACTTAATTTGGTCTTGGTTAGCGTGGAAAGATATAACCTAATTAGAGTTTTCAAGTTTGTGAGGAGAAATTTTTTAGGAATAATTTTGAGTGATGGATTGAATGAATCTCAACCACTTTTGTAGTAGGCTAACTTAAGGATTCAAAATTAGTTCTATTTTATTTGCATATATTAGTGTAGACCCTCACGATAACCACCGTCCCATTGTTAGACCCTCACGGATTCAAACCTTATCATTCTCCTTCATCATGGTTCCTCTTCATGTAATAGTACCATCATATTCACCATTTTCGTTTAGTTTTGATAATGGGGCTCGTCAATTAGATTTTTGTTTTTATGGGTACTCGAAGCTTCAACATAAATATGGCTGCGTATAGAATAGGAAGATATGTTAACCATTGGTATTTGGAGAATTCAAGATTTACTATAGGAATTCTGACCTTTAAAATTCGAAATAAATATTCTAAAAACTTTCTCTGCTTGGACGATTTATCACCATTTTTCTTCCTCATCCCTAAAATTTTCCATCCTCGTAGTTCGCCATATTATGGTTATAGAATTTTAAACCGCATACTGCATAAAGAGGCGGCGGCGAAGACAATGAAAAAGATAATAGTGAGCAAATATTGGATCCAAGCTAAGCAACTCCAATAGTATCCCTATCCTTTCCAAAATAAATTACATTTGTACCAAAAAGTTAAATAGAGAGTAAATTTTTCTTAACAATTTCAATCAACCTCTCTATTCTAGTAGAGTAGAAAAATAACTTGTCTAGTTAATGCATTTAATGAAATAGATATGTATGTTATCTATGCATTTACTATTTATACAGTAAAGAGTGTGTTCGACTATCAAAGAGCCAAATCAGAGACTATAAAAAAATGCAAGNCTTGTCTAGTTAATGCATTTAATGAAATAGATATGTATGTTATCTATGCATTTACTACTTATACAGTAAAGAGTGTGTTCGACTATCAAAGAGCCAAATCAGAGACTATAAAAAAATGCAAGCCTCACCAATATTGTTAACAAACTGGGATATTTATAACGTATAAAAATATTAATAACAATAATTCCCATGGATGGGTATATGAAAATGTCAATTTTAATAATTAATCTAAATAAAGAGCCTATAGAAGATGAATTTTTAATGTAAATGTTTTTATAATCTCACGGCGTCGACTAGTATCAAAGAGGCAGTAGTCACGTCACGACAGAGAAAAAAAACAGGTCTTAGTGTCGGTTATTTTTTGAGATTTACACATTAATCTCGGAATTTGTTTGGGCTGCTGTGAAGCCAACATCAAGTGATCCGTACTTCACACTATATTTGCAATTAAAGTTAGAGTTATTAGGATAAATACTAGTGAACCCCATCTATCACAACTACTATTCACATATTCATTTTACCTAGTAACATAACATGGCCGTTAAGGACACAGGTGAAATTTTTTCTTATGCCACTGAATACTCTCTAATGTTTGCACATTCTTTTCCTTCTCTCTCTCACCCCCCATTACCACTGCCATGGCCACTGTGATTGCAAACTTCCATCACCACACCCATCATGACCCCTCCCCCCCCACCGCACCAGCTTTCCACCACCACACGCATCAATTCATTCATAGCCAACGTCCACCACCACACCCATCACAACCACCAATTACAAAACAACTGTCACCACCACCCTCCAATTCAATCAAAGATAACATATGTCCACCACTAGATTAACAATCACTCTAATCAAAATACAATTAAATAAACCAATTAATCAACAAATTAAATTCAATTCGATTAATTCATCAATCAATAACCCATATTCAACAAAAAGCAGCCAGAAATTCAACTCTACTAATGCAATTTAAGTTCAGGAGGGCTACCAGTGCACAGAGAGAGGGAAGGTCCTCGCACCGCCACCACACCACTACCACTACCACTACCACTACCACTACCACTACCACTACCACTGCCACTGCCACTGCCACTACCAAACTCAACTGAGTAACTGTGTATGCAAAGATCTATATGCATGTGTGCAGTGTGTGTGCATCATAAACGAAGATGATGCTTCGTAATTCAGTAAATCAATGGGAATGCCACATATATTTACCCAAATTATTTCTTAGCACGCCTCTATCTGTTATTTCACTAGAAAAAGCAGAGGTACTTGAGGGTACAATAGCGTGATTCAGAAACTGTAATAACTTCTTATTTGAATCCATATTTTTTCCTTCTATTTGAAAATACTATGTATCACAACTACTGAAAGAACTTCAACTTAATGTGCAGATGGCTTAAAAGGGGAAAGAGTATTATGCCTAATTCAATGACCAAAATACTCGCACTGACAAAATTTAGCACCCTTTGCCAATTTTTTGACAGAAAAAAAATATTGTTAGAAGGTATACCCTAGGCATAGAAGCCCTCAGGTTTCTGAAGGCATATTCTTACCATTGTCCTTCAAGTGAAATAAAGAGGAGATCCCCAGCGGCCGTTCAACTCTAGTATTCAATGTTTCTTCTTATTTCCCTTTGCAGTTGATTTTGTGGGAGAAGCTATAAGATGTGTAAACAGTGCAACAATGGCAACAACTGAAATTTGAGAACCATATTTTGCCCAAAATTTCTGCACAAGGAAATATTTACGAATAAGATATCTGAATGGCCTAATATAGAGATCACAAATCTATTACTATGTATTCCCAAAGGTCAGCACAAACATGTTGTGCTACAGCCTTCACACGACAAGCACTTAAATATATTATGAATCCCACCATCCCCCATCATAAAAGAAAAATGAAACAAAGAACTGTCAATGTAGTCCACCAAAATGCATATTATGACAAAAAGATATGATATATAGACTTTCAATAAGTTACAGGCATCAAGCTTACCTTTGCCTGAAAGCAACCAACCCCAAAATGATGATTTCATGGGAAGATACGGCGAAATTGTTCAGTAAATACAAGAAATCCATCAGAAAAATTTGCATAAAAAGTTGAAGAAAAAGAAGTAAAAAACATCATAACTTTTTAGCATATTCAAAGTAGGAAGAGGTTACCAATTCAAACTTCTTCTCAGAAATTCTATCTGCAAGGATATCAAGTGGTAGGATTGGAGTTGAATATGCCTCCTACAAAAAAGCCGGATTCATCAGTCCAGAAATAAAATCAGCATTCATCCTGATTCAGCCATTGACAGCTTTTCCAATAATCAAACCTGTAATGCAGCCTTTTTGGGCACTCTGAATTTGATCAGAGCAGGTGCACCATGATGAATGGTTTTCACTTTGGACTCCAACTCGAATGAGTGGGAAACAAGAGAGCCATTGCAAATTACATAAAACAAAAAGAACATATAAATTACATGAGAGAGAGAAAAAATAAATAAAATGTTAGAAAATCAGGGGTTTAACACTAGATTTTATCGTCACTTACGCATCAAGTCTTTCCCATGACTTTGAAGTGTTGCCAATAATAGTATCAAAGACTTCTTGAGACCAACTATCATCCGTAAGGCTTACATCATATGCAGCGCTGAATGGGTTCACAAAAGCAAAATCATTCGGTGTAATCAGTAGAGCTACAGCTACATACAGACGGAAAAATCAGTACAGCTACATTCAACAATCACAAATGATAAGACCGGAGATTAGAGAAGGCGTACGCGGATCCACGGTTGCAGATGTCGATTGAGACGGATACAAGTTCAGAGCCGGAATTGAGCTTTGTGAGAGTGATTTTCTTGTGCGCCACTATGAATGGGGTGTCCGAAGAGATTGCATGCGTTGCGGAAATTAAAAGCAGCGTTAAGAGAGAGAAGATCGTCAATGGAGTCGGACTCGCCATGGATGATTATCCCTGATCGATTCTCTGCTTTCTATATTCGATTGCAGCGAAGAGAGAGAGAGAGAGAGAGAGAGACAGAAGAACTAGGGTCGCATATAAGGAGGAGTTAACAGATGTTCTTGGGGCCGGATATGGCGGGCGCCTGGTATAGGACTCCTGTACTTGGGCTGGAAAATACCCAAGAAAAAGCCCAGACAAGATCAATTAAAGCCCATAAAAATTATTGAGCCCAAGAAGGCCAACCCAACCCAATTAGATGAAAGGGCATTGCAGATACCCCAAACCAATTCAATGAAAGCCCATCTTACAATAGTGGGGACGGTCTCAGGCCTCTTGTGCCTACATGGCTACTGTTATTGTTGGTGCAAACTTGCCAAGTGGGATAACCGACCCTCGCTCAAAACAGGGGTATGTTTAAATTTTATTCAAGTCATATTTTTTTTTTAAAATCATCACCAATCACTTACCTCACCTATCATCCCTTTGTCAGAATCAAACGTCAAATCACATCACTCATTTCTATTACATATTTAATCATTTATATATTTCTTCCCTAAAACTATCACACAACTCATTTCTATCATATATTTAATCATTTAATATTTAATTAATTTGTAGTTAATATATTTTGAAAAAATTTAATATAATAGAATCGATTTTTTGAACATTTGAATTTTATATTTTATCGTGTCTTCAGGCACAGACTATGACTAGTAAATTTATATAACTTGAAAGGAGAGCTTAAGTGATAACGGGAATATATTGTAAATTTGGATATCATAATTTTGAATATTGACAATTCTTTGGTATAGGTCATGAGAGATTTATTCTTTTTGAATATCTTAGTCCCGGCGTGGATGATCTATTTTTGACTGGACCAATTAGGAGATTAGTCGAAATGTGCGTAAATTAACTCAAGCACTCTTAAATGTTGAACAAAAAAGTGAGATCTATACTCCCCGAATATTATTTTTTTCCATTTTTTTGATATATCATTTATTATTAATGAATAAGAGGCCCACTTATATTCATTTGAATTTACGACAAGTTATGCATCAAGAAGAAAAATAAAAAGAAAGTGTATTTTATAAGGCATCTCGTCTAGTGACTTCAAGAGAGAGTCTAATGGAAGGGAATTGCTACCTCCAATTGCCATGCGTGTTCGAATCTCACCCCATCAAAAGGGCAGAATTGCAAATTTGGATATAACAACGGAGTCAAAAGTCAAAGATGAATCAAACGTTACTCATTATGTTACATCGGTCAAAGATGAGTCGAGAATCAAAATTTAATTTCTTTTTGAAATGGGCGAAACGTTTTTAATTTTAAGAAAATCNTACTCATTATGTTACATCGGTCAAAGATGAGTCGAGAATCAAAATTTAATTTCTTTTCGAAATGGGCAAAACGTTTTTAATTTTAAGAAGATTNGTTACATCGGTCAAAGATGAGTCGAGAATCAAAATTTAATTTCTTTTTGAAATGGGCGAAACGTTTTTAATTTTAAGAAAATCATAATAAAAACAATGATAAAATCAAATTTTCAATACCTGAAAGTTTTAAGAAGATCATAATAAAAACAATGATAAAATCAAATTTTTAATACCTGAAAGTTTTTCAGAATATTTTGAGACATTTCGTCACGTGTTGCACTATTATTTTTAAATGTTTAGATATGTTTTAAGATATTTCGATAACTTTTGATTAATATTTTGGAATATTTTTGAAAATAAAGTCTCAAATTTTTTATTCATTTCTATTTAACTGTTTTTGAAATATTTCTGAAAATTTTTTATTTCTTAGATTACCGAAACAAAATATTAATCCTTGAGATAAGTATTGAAGGTGCACATGATTGCAAACATGTGACAAATGCATGATTAGTAGTTCGTTTTTGGGGTAATTATCAAGTTGGTTTCAAATCCTATATACATTTGGGATATTAAATAAGAGTCATGCAATAGAGATTTAATTAGAGATCTAATTCGTTATAACTACAAACATTCAATTCAACATCTATAATTAATTAGGTTCTCAAATTAAGTCTAAATAATATTTTTCATTTATAAACAAACTTGGATCCAATAAACAATTCTTTCCTCCATAGCGAGATGAGATAATCAATCTTTTCCAAAGCTCAGATGAATAGTGGATTTATACCCGCGGACACCTTCTTAAATAGACCCACCTATATGGTGGGTTATAAAAATTCGGCTGGTGTGTATTTGTGGAAATAGAGTTTTACCTTTGAGATAATTAATATAGAATATAAATACCACACTTTATCTTAGGGTACTTTAGCAATTTAATACTTATACCATTATTCAATACCTTATTCAAACAAAGTGTTATATGAGATAAATGTGGGGCGCACTACTTCTCAATACCTGAGTCAAATATGGGATGAGGATATATAGATTCTAGATTTATTTTTCTACTCCAACTAGACGGGTATGGAATGAATGAGGTTGTCCAATTCAATACATAAAATGAAAAAAAAAAAATATGAAATCGAGAAATTGGGCAGTGGAATATAAGAAGTTTTCACTCTAGTGGACTAATTTAAGGATAACAAGAAGATTTGTAAGCAAATATGGTGTACATGCTAGTTAAATCGAAATGAAGGCATACAAAACGACTCCATGCCTATGTTTGCAGGTTACATGACAAAGTTCTTACATATATACTAGAAAACTGCCAATTACCTAGGTCTTTCGTACAAAGATATTTGTACTCACGACTGATGCTACATGGGTTCCTTTTTTCACTAAGAGAGAATGGGCATTGTGTAACTCAAAACTCTTTTACGAAAGTCGAACTTAAGATCTCGAAATAGTAAGACGTAACTTATATATCGAGGGGTGAATTCATGCATATCTCTTAAATCCCAAGTATAAGAATAAACAAGTTCATGCATGGGTTAACGCTTTATGTATATATGCATGCCAAATTGCAACTATATATGTATATGTTCTCATTCTTACTTATCATTATGTGCGCCTTTGTGCGTGTCCGTCTCACTAAAACAGATCGCTTGACGCTATATTCCTCTATCTTTAACAACACGACTCAAATATTACATGATATGACTCAAATAATACCTTTAATAAAAGAAAGCATATTTCCATCTACCTTTACTACTTCCATGGCTTCATGTTTGGCGCATGCATGGAATGGAAGAGAAGGTCTAGCATGAAAGGTAAGAACCAGTCAGGACGCACAAGGATGACCTGCGAGAAAACCACTGGAGGCTCTCTTTCTCTCTGCAAGAGAACTAAACTTAAGTCTTCTAAGAGCCCATTGGATGGATTTAGGCAAGTCATCCTTGGCGACCATACAAGACTCTTTATCTTCATACAAGACCTCTCTTCCTCTCACTTCTTTCTGTACTGCCATGGCAAGGTTCTGTAACTAAGCATCTATATATAAGCAAGGAGGACTGGACGACAGATAGGAGATTAGATTCCAATCGACTCAACTCGTCGAATATTAATTGACCTCCATAAATAGCATTTTTATTTTTGACCTTCAATTATCAAGGTGCCCATAAAGGGAATCTATTCTTTGGAATGTAAGGGATGCAACCATACCCACTTATATGTTGATTTTGCTGCTGTTTCCCCCAGAGTTCATGAATGACTGTGGATTTGTGAAAAAACTGAATAGAAGATGACAGAGAAAAAGTAGTAATGCTATTCATATCTAAAAATTTGACTNCTATATTCCTCTATCTTTAACAACACGACTCAAATATTACATGATATGACTCAAATAATACCTTTAATAAAAGAAAGCATATTTCCATCTACCTTTACTACTTCCATGGCTTCATGTTTGGCGCATGCATGGAATGGAAGAGAAGGTCTAGCATGAAAGGTAAGAACCAGTCAGGACGCACAAGGATGACCTGCGAGAAAACCACTGGAGGCTCTCTTTCTCTCTGCAAGAGAACTAAACTTAAGTCTTCTAAGAGCCCATTGGATGGATTTAGGCAAGTCATCCTTGGCGACCATACAAGACTCTTTATCTTCATACAAGACCTCTCTTCCTCTCACTTCTTTCTGTACTGCCATGGCAAGGTTCTGTAACTAAGCATCTATATATAAGCAAGGAGGACTGGACGACAGATAGGAGATTAGATTCCAATCGACTCAACTCGTCGAATATTAATTGACCTCCATAAATAGCATTTTTATTTTTGACCTTCAATTATCAAGGTGCCCATAAAGGGAATCTATTCTTTGGAATGTAAGGGATGCAACCATACCCACTTATATGTTGATTTTGCTGCTGTTTCCCCCAGAGTTCATGAATGACTGTGGATTTGTGAAAAAACTGAATAGAAGATGACAGAGAAAAAGTAGTAATGCTATTCATATCTAAAAATTTGACTTCCTTTGAATGTGAGATCAAATTTTTAAGTCCAAATAACATTAATAGTGAAAAAATACAAGTGCCAAAAAGTCAGATAGCAAGCTGATCAATCAACTTGTGCTGAATCATTTATCTGATCTTTAGCTCTTTTTGAGGATCAAGTCTGATGTTCATCTCATGGTGTTTATCAACATGCCAACTTGATGGTGTTGAGGAATTGGATTTGGATACATGCCCTATACTTACCAGAATTTACTATACCCTGACGACTAATGATTTGGATATATCAATTTCAAACGGGATGAATTTGAAATCCAAATTATTAAAATGTATGACTCTAAATTGTAATATTAACCCTAAATCGATTCACTGTAGAACACATAACAAAAATACAAAATACATAATTATTGACTACTTGTTTATTTATAAATTTATAAATATATGTTGTTTTAGATAGTCAAAAATTGAGCAGAAATATACGACTTGGTGTTTAAGGATATTCTATAATATATATAACATTGTATAGTAATGAAAACAATCTAGNTCTATTCTTTGGAATGTAAGGGATGCAACCATACCCACTTATATGTTGATTTTGCTGCTGTTTCCCCCAGAGTTCATGAATG